GCACTTATGATCTACTTCCTTTGAGTCAGTCTGGTTTTCGCAGTGGCTTTAGCTGTACCACAGCATTACTTAAAGTTACTGATGACATTCACAGAGCATGTGATAATAATCTGTTGACCATTTTAATTCTTCTTGATTACTCGAAAGCTTTTGACCTTATTAATCATTCACTTCTTTTGGCTCTCTTGCACTTTTTTGGATTTACGTATAATTCTATTAATTTCTTCAAAAGTTATCTAAATAATCGATGCCAGGCAACTGTCATAAAACAAAACTCGTCTGATTTTTCTTTTATTAATTCTGGTGTTCCCCAGGGATCAATACTAGGTCCACTTTTATTTGTCATGTATGCTTCTCAATTACCGTCTGCTCTTCAAACTGTCAGATTCACACTTATGCAGATGATACGCAGCTCTATTACTCTTTTGAAGAGAAAAATATTCAGGATGCTTGTAATAAGATTAATGATGACATTTTGTCACTCGTTCATTTATCTGATAAGCACTGTCTAAGCATAAATCCCTCTAAATCAATAGTTCAACTTTTTGGCCGACCCGTTGCAAGAAAACGTAACCTTAATAATGTAAATATTAGCTTAAATGGAGATCTCTTAATAATAATGTTTATTCATTTAAAAAATAAAAATATTACATATTTTTGTATTTTGAATATTTTTTTCATTATATTGATATTAAAGGAGTCGAATAAACCCATTTATGTCCTTGTAGGATGCGCATGGGTATTCGACTGCTTTATATCATAATAAAATTACAATAAAAAATGACAAATTTTAAAACAGATGTGCACACTTAAAAAAAAATTATAATTACATTATATATAAAATATTTTTAATAGAGCTTAAATGTGTAAGATTTTTAAATATATTTGTATTATATCGCTTCGCAATTTCAGATCCGACTACTAATCACTCAAAAATTGCATGAATTAAAGTTAATGGGCCCGTTCACTTTCATTTTTGAATGTGAATTAATTATATATTTATAAAGATATTAAACTCTTTTGTCTGGTGGTACTTTTCCCGTTAAGATATTCTTGCCAGAAGTAAGGGAATTCCCATAAAATTCTTTCAGTGACTCATTGCGTCAGAAAATCCCTGATTCCGTTCACGTCTCGTATCGGTTATGCTTAAAGACGGCGGGGTTGTCGGAAGTATCCCTAATATAGCATTTCTGCATTTATATATGTAATTTAAATAGTAAAATTCCATTATTTTTCTAAAAATCATGAACTTATATTTTCAGATTTAAAGCTGGGAGCTTATTTTTTACTTTTTAATTAAAACAATCATTATTACTCAGGCTGAAAATTAACCAGACCATAATCAAAAAGTAGAAATTTGATTTGCAATATTTATCTGGTAAACGTGGCAACGTTGCATTTATTTCTAGAAGTGTGTGTAGACAACACTATTTAGAAGTACTTACAACGTTGTCACGTTTACCAGATACATTTTCTCAAATAAAATTTCGATCTGGTAATATTCAGCTTGAGTAATACTAATTGTTTTTATTAAAATTTAGAAAAGGTAGGGCCTACAGCTTTATCTGAAAATATAAACACATTATTTTTAAAAAATAATATATTTTTATCATGTAAATTTCTTTAATAAATGCAGAAGAGGAATGGTGGTGCAATGATACATCCGACAACCGCGCCCTTTTAACTATTAACCGATACGAGACTTGAAGAGAATTAGGGGTTTTCTGACGCAATGAGTCACTGAAAGAATTTTATGGGAATTCCCTTACTTCTAGCAAAAATATCTTAACAGGAAAAGTACCACCAGACAAAAGAGTTTAATATCTTTATAAATATATAAATAATTCACATTCAAAAATAAAAGTGAACGGGCCCATTGAGTATTTAATAAAAAATTTTTGATAATTTGCTTGAATAAATGTTTTGAGTTTATCGTCAATAAATACAATTTGTACATATCTGGAATAAAGTTGTAAATTTTACTTATTAAGAAATTAAAATGTCTTTGTCCAATTGATTTATTTGCCAAGTAAGTTTGCACATGACCTTGTTGTTTAATTCTGGTGTTATATTTATGACTAATTTTTTTTAAAATGTTTTTATTTTTATAAGTGTACATAAGTGATGTGTAAACATATAACTGTTTGATATCAAATATATTTATTTCAGAGAAAAGGGCATCCGACGGATATCGAGTTTTTTTATTGTGTATAATTTTTAATATTCTCTTTTGTAGTATTTCTAATTTGTTTGTGTGATTCTTTGTTGTAGCGCCCCACGATAAGATGGCATATTGAATGCGACTTTGAACTAAGGTATAGTATAATAGTCTGAGATTAGATATATTTAACAGTTTTTTCAGGTAATTAAATTTAAATAAAAGTGTTCTTAGATTATTTGTTACATTATTAATGTGCTTATCCCATCGCAGGTGACAATCCAGTGTGATGCCTAGATACTTCATGCTGCCAGTAATATGTATTGATATTTGTTGGTAATTAGAGTTTATATTTATGACATCGTAGACAGGGAGATTATTTTCATAACTAGTAAAGGGCATAAAAAAAGTTTTTGAAAAATTAATGGTCAGATACCTATGACTAAACCATTCAATTATTTTTGCAAGGCCATATTCAGTTTTTTGTTTTAGATCATCCCAATTTTCAGCTTCATATAATATGGCCGTATCATCTGCAAAACTAATTATGTGACCATTACTTTGTACATTGAATAAATCATTTAGATATAGCGAAAAAAGGGTTGGTCCTAATACGGTTCCTTGGGGTACACCGTAGGTTAAAGTTCTAGAATTGCTATACGCTGTTCCAATTTTAACAATTTGCTCTCTGCCTGATAAATAATTTTTAAAAAGTTTCAGGGGAGTACCACGAATCCCTGTGTTTTCCAAGACCGTTAACAATTGTGTATGATCCACAGTGTCAAAGGCCTTGGCAAGGTCTAAGAATACACAAAGTGTTGGCTTTTTAGAATCAACAGATTTATAAAGTTCGCTTGTTAATGTTAATGCTGCATTCCTCTGCAAAAAAACCTAGGTATACATATTGACAACTCACTACGATTTTCATCCCATATATCAATCATTACAAAAAGGTCTTATTGCAGTTTAAAATTATTATACTCTAATAAGAGTTTACTTAATAAAAAAACTAAAATAATGCTGTGCGACTCACTGGTTTTATCACATGCAAACTACGGAGACGTAATTTACGGACCATCCTTATTAAACAGTGATAAAAAGAGGTTGCAAAAAATTCAAAATTCATATGTACGTTTTGTTTGTGGCTTGAACAGAAGAGATCGTGTTTCCGTTCATTTAAAAGAATTAGGCTGGCTCAATATGGCTGAGAGACGAGCATTACATGCATGCTCGCTCTTTCAAAATATTTTAAATTCTGCAACACCTCCTTACTTATATAATAAAATATCTTTTCGATGTGATGTACATAATATAAATATACGGTTTAAATCCAAACTCACACCACCACTTCACAAAACTCATCTATTTCTGGGATCTTTCACTTATTACGTATCTTGGCTTCTTAATAGGTTACCCATGCATTATCTCAGTTTAAACAATATTTGGTTAAAAAATTATGTAAAACGAGATTTAATGAATGGTACACTCTTCGTTGTTAAATAATAAAAAAAATTTAAGTATTGGGTGTTGGCTGTTTCTGGTATATAATAGAATATTCATTTTACGGTTAATTAATATTATTATAATAGGTTACCCTTCTTACGGTTTATTAATATTATTTACTTTTTGGTATTTTTGCTTTTTTTGAAATATTCTAGTTAGTTTTAATTTTAGTTTTACTGGTTGAGTGGAAGAACAGGTTCTAGTATTGCTCCGGCATAATAGAAACTGAACTCTGCCTTTTGGCTATAATTTTATTTTGTCAAAAATTATAAAAAATGTATAATTTGAGCCAATAAAACATTATTATTATTATTATTATTATTATTTTTTGTGTTAAGCTTTTTGGTTAAATCAGTTTTAAATTTCTTGTTTCTTCGATGTCTTTAATCACATCCTTACTTTGCTCATTTTTTTTATTATAAATTTATGCATGCATTTAATTGCTTTATTGTATCCTTTTAATATAAAAAAACTATTTTTGCAGTGTATCTCAAGTATTGTCGCTTTTTGCCGATAGTACGGATATATTCCGCACCAAAATTAGAGGACACCACGTTTCACACGTAAATAGTTTTTGGACAGTAAAAAATTTAATTTTATAATTAAAAATATGGGTTTTTTCCATCCTATTGGCTTTGAAGATGCAAACCCAGCAAGTACACCCGGAGATCCACATGTTAACCTTTCCACCGATACAGAGCCTATTTTAGAAGAGGGCGAAGTTCCATATAGAGAATGTGTTGGTTCGTTAATTTTTGGCATAATGGTAACAAGAATAGACATTGCATTTTCAGTGGGAGTCGTAATTCGATACACAAATAGCCCTACCAATATGCGGTGGAATGCAGTAAAAAAAATCATCAAGTACTTATTAGGAACTCAAAATCCTGGAATTAGATATAAAAAGCATGTCGCGCTTGAACTAATCGGTTTTTCCGATGCTGATTTCGCAAATTATTTCCAAACACGACGGTATACCAGTGATTATGTGTATAAAATCAACTTGGACCCTATAAATTTAACCAAATCACACAATTACCATTCAGCAAAATATTATAACAAATCAACTTTTACTGCTTCTAGGCAAACACTTGCCATTCTCCCTGAAAACGAGGTAAAATGGAGAGAAAATGTAACTTATATATGCCAAAAATAGAAATGGTAATATTTAAATATTATTGATCTGTCATCAACTTCACATACAGTTTTATTTAATTTCTCACTTATTTATGAAGCGATTTCAAAATTTTAAAAACAGTTGTACAAAGAAAAGTAGCGACTACAAAAATGAACAGAAAACAAATTAGAGTGTCGTTAATAATTTTTGAGGGGGTTGTTCCAGACGGGTAGTTTTTGAGAGTGGGTCGTCAAATTTTTATTTTTTTCAAAGTACACTGCTAATTATAATGTAAGACTTTTGTCCGGTTCGATTATCTAAAAGGTTTAGAAGTTATAGTATGGGTAAAACAATTTGGGACACCCTGTATAGTATGTTTAATCACTATGCAACATTTATATCATTAACGCATATCAGAGGTAAAATAATCGCTATTTTGCTCCTACCCCAAACCTAAAAGTAGTTTATTCACAATAAAATACAATAATGTATAGACATATTTAAACGTAATAACTAACTTCCCTGTTGTTTAACTTTTGTACCGGTCTAGTATTGTTCTGTATATTTCCAAAACATCCATTAATTCTTCTAAATTGTCTTATTTGCTTAGATGAAATCATAAGTGGTTCAGGTTTGATTATCCAAAGAACGCCTTCAGTACATGGTGGAAACGTCAACGACCCAGTATAGCAATAATAATCTCTGGAAAAATCAGGAATCAGCAGAGACAGAATAATAGGTTCTATGCATAAATAGCTCATAGGATTCCTGATAAATTTTAAACCAGTTACAATTGGTTCTAAATATGGATTATCTATTGGCGTCACCATAAAAAGATAACTTAACATTAAAAGACAGCCATTTCTAGCTGCTATAATTAAATCTTCTTCAATTGCACTACATTTAACGAAGGCTATTTGGAGTTCCATACTATAACGTGTGGAATTAATCATGTGTTCTGAACCTGGAAGATCAAATTTTGTCAAATATTCGAATCGTATAATAAATAGCATATACCTTCGTGGTCAGTAGGTCCCCATCGAAATCTCATATTTAGAAATTTATAGTCTTCTTCTAAAGGACCTCCAGTAATATAAGGTATTTTGTTACAATCCCAGTTCGCATAAACTACAACATTGTGACTATTATTGTAAATGCGCATTTCTTTTGGACTCAAATGAAATTCTTCGGAAAAAGACAAAGGACAAACTGATTCGGTCGGAACTTCTTGAGCCATAGAGTATAGCACGTTTATAGGAGACTGTTTTTTACCGTTCGCATTTTCGAATATTTGTTTCCAGCATTGAGGGCCATTGAAACTATCGTAGGAATAAACGTTTATAACACTTTCTATATCTCTACATGCGCATCTTCTTTCATTACACAAATCATTGAGGTACAAGGCAATCAGCAATAGAATTGCTACTGCAAAAAAATAATGATGACTTTCCATTTCTTCTGGCAATAAATACGGCATATTTTGAATTTTGGTCAGAAAAAAATCATTGCATTGGAAAGAGAAAAACTATTTTTTACATAACCTTTGTTATGTTACACTAGGTTTCAAATTTGACATTTTGGACAATGACACACGAAAATTGACTTAAATGCGCGCGGGTATATTGCCATTGAACAGAATCGTTCTAGCCCAAATGCAGTATCAAATTTCAACTTTCAAATATTTAGTAAAAAAAAAAAATAAAGTTAGGTATTTTGAAAGCATAAATTTTCATAAAAATATTAAGATATCTACTCTTGTTTCAGGAATAATACTATTATGGAGGAGGTGGGTGGCTCAGTGGTAGAGCCTCTGTCTGTGGATCCAAGAGTCCCAGGTTCGAATCCCACCGTTGGCCGGATTTTTTTCATTTAATCTAATTATTTAAAATGAATTCTGATGCCTTGGTAGGATTCCCCACTCGACCATTCACTGTTGGATTTTAATTAACAGTGCTGTTCCTAAAGTGGCGCTGGGAAACAGTAACAAAGCCTACACAGGACACGAGGCGAAATAACCTTAGTAGTTGAAGCCGATGACACACACAAAAAAAAAAACTATTATGAATCCTAATTGCAATATATAATACAATTTTTTTAAGTCAGGTACAGAGGATATTTAGATGAAACAAGAATTTCAGTTATAATTCTACGTTCTCTTAATAAGTATTAGAAGCTTAAGTCTAACACCTTTTATTAAAGCACAGTGAATTGATATAAAGGCTGTATGTCAGACATTTTTTTAATGTATCCGATACTAACTTTTCAAATTTAGAAAGACTTTCGGGGCAAAATATGCGTACCACGAAAAATATATCCTAATCGCTCAACTTGAGTTGATGCTTGCTAAAAATGCGAAACTCTAAACATGCAGATACAAGGTGCTTTTAACTCAAGTAAAGCTAGTGCAGAAAGGAAATTTCAATTACACCAGTATATGGGGTAAGTATGTAGATAACGAGGAAGTTAAAATGAATCCTCAAAAGGAGTACTATAGTTTCGATCTTCAGCAGTATCTGTTAACTCTCTTCATTAAGTCTTCTATAGTATTCAATTAAAGACAACTATGGATTTATAATTTGACCATTTATGACAACGATACTGGAGAAACGCCTCAGTACACATGGCAAGAAGTTTGGCTACTAGAGGAGGAAATATAATTGCTTTCTGCTTGTACCGGCACCTCAAAAGTTTGTTTGACAACATCAATAACGTGACAAAATTATCCAAATTTACTTACGGCTTCTAGAAAATGAAGTCAAAAAAGCATACATTGCTTATAAACAGTGCCACCGAACCGTGAGGCGCATCTGGGGTTTCTTTCCCAAAGTCGCCACATGGACTTACACAGCCATCATAAAACCTATGCTGATATACGGTGTAGTTTTCTGGGTACTTAAAACATAAAAAAGACAGCTATCCGCAAACTACAAGCAATTCAAAAAACAGCTTGTTCCAATATAACAGGAGCTATGAAAACCACACCAACCAATGCCATGAAACTCATTCTTAGTCTCACTTCCCTTAATATGTATATCAAGAAGGTTGCTCTGATGACAATGGCATGATTCCGCATAGTTGGAATAGAACCTTATGTAGAATCTGGTCAGGCAAGACGTCGGTTTTGGAGGGAGGTGCTCGATGCGCTTCCACTATTTCAAGCGAACAAAAAGCAGTCGGAAGTGGCAGATACGATTCATACCTACAGCAACGGTTTTAAGACAAAACAAGGCCAAGAATGTGGAATATACTCTAGATCCTTAAACCTAAACATAAATTGACCTGTGAGAATTAGTCCCAGTGTAGTTCAAACCGAGCTAACGGGGATTATCATAGCAGCAATAGAAGTTACCAGTCAAGTAAGACTCACCCTAAACAGACGACGAATTTACTCAGGGTGTGTACTAGAATGCAATGAATCTTTGGCCGAAATATCCATCAACAATGTGCTTATCTAAGAATGAATTAAAGGTCACGCCACATCGCTATTCTAATTGAAGACAATTTCCCTGTGAAATTCAAAAAAAGATGGATGAAACGAGAAGCTGCAAAGTTGCCAGAGAGTGTTTAAGTTATCCTTACAATGTCACATAAAATAAATACTTGACAAACACTGAGTCTTATCACAGGCATTTTGACTGGTCATTGCCAAGCCAGTTGCCAAGTAAGGAAGCACTCCACATCATGAGGATGTCAGAATCTGCACTATATAGGTGGTTCTAACAAGAAGATGAGATCATCGAGTATATTTTCCACGATTAAAAGATTTGTGTTCAGAGAGTATTGGCTGGCGACCTTGTCAACTATATTAAATTTGTAGGCTGGCTGGCTGACGAACTAAGAGGGACTTGTCATTTTAAAAGGAGGCCTGGTAAAGCCTAATTATTGTGAGTAATTCACCCACCACATGATACAGATGCCTTTGGTCTCTAATATTATTAATAAAGAGCAGAATCTTCTATTGAAAGAGAAAGAAGCAAACTAAATAATAATGATTATATTTTGTTGCCATTTTAATTTCCTTTTATTTATCAATTCTTACTTTCAATTGCTTGTTTTCAAGTCCTTTATTTAAAACCACATCAGTACAGGTAATTATTAATTAGTTGATCACAAAGATTTAAGTCAATCAAATTTAGATAAATACACTTTTATTTGTAATAAATTGTACTGGGACTTGAAATTTGGTTAATAATAGCACTAACATCGAAATCACATTTACATGGAAGTCCGACGTTTTAAAATACATATTCTAGGAAAGAGAAATTTCTGACTTAGGTACGTAAGTTCCTATTACCTGAAGTTAAAGATTCTAATCAGGAATGTAAACAATTTTATGGTAATGCCATGTTATATGTTGTCAAGGTAAGGTTGGGAGGCAAGTGGTAGCTCAGATTTTATCTGACGATGTCACAACGAGCTCTGGGTCGCCACGTTCTGTCCTAAGTGGTTCAGTGTTTGAAAATGGTCCACTCTACGCAAAACAACCTAGAGATGGGTAATAATTATGATAACTATTTCAATTGGTACTGCTAATTGTATAGAGACATAAAAATAACTAAATAAACAAATATAAGACAAGTATTAGAAATTAAAAATAAAAAAAAACCGACTTCAAAAACGTGCAGATGCCGTCACCACATCTTAACCAAATTTATATGGGACCACTCCTGAAGTACCCCCTTTCTAAAAAAAAAAGAATCATTGAAATCGGACACCGTGTTAAAGAATAATCGCTAAACATACATTAAAAAAAGAAACTATCGCGACGAATTGATAACCTCCTCCTTTTTTGAAGTCGGTTAAAAACAAAAATAAAAAAAACAAACTTAAAACACATTTAAAAAAAAAAAGCAGAAGGTGTGATATAAAAGAAAAATATGAAGAAGACAGCCATACATAATAATTAAAAAAAATAAAAATTTATAAAAACACAAAAACATAAAACAACTCACTCAAACACGTCGACGAACACAAAAAAAAATTAAATTTCTTTTTTCTCTACCAAAAATATCGATAATAGATAACATATTTTTTTTTTGTTTTCTCCGATTATTTGTCGATGTACGCTCATCAGCTCAGTCAGCCAATTTTCATTCTTTATTCGTTCCGTGCGTGACAGCAGCGCTAACTATTTTATGAACTAACGGACGATATTTGCGTATACTGACAATACAATTTTTAATAGAATTCGTAATTAAAAAATATATTTGTTGATTTTAATAAAAGTATATGGATTTGTAAAACAAGTGAAAAATTTATTTATTATTATATATTTTTATTACTAAAAAACGTAGCCTAATCAATAAAAATCAATAATAAAACATAGGCGAATTTACGAAAAAATGTATGAGATGTTGCCTAAGCCTAATAAGTTGTCATTGAAGAATAAAGAAAAAAATTCGTTGACAAGTAATTATAGTAATTTTATGCTGATTAATTTATGTTAATTTTTGTAATATTTTATGAATTTCACGCAATGGTAAGCAGATATCTTATAGGTATCTTCTAAAAATCTTGTTCAGTTATTATATTGATAAAATAATAAGGTGTCATCGGCAAAACTGATAACTTCGCTTTTAAATTTCTGTTCAAATAGGTCGTTTATATAAATATTAAATAACAACGGGCCGAGAACGGTTCCCTGTTAATACCACAGTTAGTAACTTTGGTGTCACTGAAAATGCCGTTGATGTTAACAGTTTTTTTCTTCTATTTTTTAAACAACTATTAAATAATTTGTTTGTTACTACTCTAAATCCGTAATTTTCCTAAGTTTCTAACAATTTTTGATTTTTATTGTTTATCATATAGAGTATAATTAGAAGATTTTCATAAATTGCCATTATTGTTAAAAAAATCTCATTTTTATTTTTAGTCCCATTTTAGATCACCTGCCTTCACTTTATTCCCAAGTCCACTTGAATATTTATGACTATTACGAATTCAATTTTAAAACGAAACGTTTCTTTAACAATACGTTCACCGTTATTAATTATTTCTAAAGGAATACAAAAAAAAATACCACGCAGTCCGGTCACACTATATCTATCGATCCAGACTCGTGACATACATTCCCATTTTGATTTTCATCGAATGTATTTGTTTGTAGTGGCGTCCACCTTGGATACCATTAATGGTAGAGACCAAATAATTCATAGGCACGAAACCATTAAAGATTCAGTATGCGTGATGTAGTATAAGGGGAAAGGGGCATGGACGGAGAGGGCGAGGTACGTTTTGTCGAAAAGGCATTTTACCTTTTACAGGTGTGTATTCATTAATTAGGAGGCATTGATCCGGTCACAAAACCAACGAATTCGTCTATTTGAATTCTATACTTTTACGACATATCATCATTCATTCGATGAAGAAGACAAAACGATAGATAGATACATAGATATATTCTGTGTACACAGTTTGTAGACATTATTAGGTCTGGGAGTAGATTAGGTAATAATTGGAAATACGCATTCATCATTCTTTAGTTGTAGGCAATTGGGTAATTTACAATATTTAATCTTTAGCTGTCCTAATTTTCAAAATCTAAACGAAGAATTTTACAAGAACCTGCAATTAAAAGGAGCAACACTCC